AAAAAGCAAATGATTAAAAATTAAAGCTATATAAAATTAGTTAACATATTAAACACGTTTTTTCTTATAGTTTTATAAACAAAATTATACTTTAAAAAACTTTAATGGTTGTGTTTAAATAAAATTCAGCCCCGTTGAGACATTTTTATGTATTTCGAAAGTTATAATCTAAAAATGGACGAAATGTAAAGTAAAAATAAAAATTGTTTTGGTATATTTGTAGAGCGTAATACTAATATTTTAAAAGTAAAAACGCCAGGCTAGTTCTAGAAAATAAAAGTGAAGCCAGTTAAATGGATCACATAGCTGATGTTCTATATAAGATCTGACGTGCAGAGCGCGTACAAAATAATATTTTAAAAAACAACCATCAACGATCCTTATAATATAATATTTCAAATGTTGTAATATATTATATTTTGTTGTATTATGTGTGTATATATATAATATATATACAYAGGTATCAATAATATTATTATCACGCTGTTGGTTGGTGTTTCCCGCGYTGCAGAAGATGTGAAATCCGTAAAAAATGGCGTCGGTGGCCACTATTAAATTTCATTGGTATTCCCGCGAGAAACCTAGCGTGTTATTATTTTATATATTATAATAATATACGTACGCGAACATCGCTGAATTTACATAAAAACGTACTAAAACGMAAATGATTTTCCGTAAATATCTCTCCACCGCGATTCTCGGTCGTCCACGGTTGCCACCCGGTGCCATTATTATTATACGCTATGTACCTATTATAGGTACGTGCGGTTCGTAGCTCGGTTGATCGGATCGGTGATTTATCAAAAATATATTCTCCGTGGAAATCCGGAAAACGGCGTACAAATTTTCTCCGGACCCGAATGCATTATGGGTGATGTGTGGGTGTGKCCATAACRTCTGAGTGCGTATACAACATGCTACGTTTGAGAAAAGTTCGCGGCGGGTGTCAGCGATAATCGTTATGTGTATTTATTTTTTTTAAAGCCTTTTTAGTGCTTTTTACATTTTATAGACAACAATGGGACCGGAGTTCTCTTGTTATCCACAACCCCATTCCTTGAATCCTCGAATTTTACTCCTAGTCGCAAAAATTGAAACCATTGAGCATTTGTAACGCAATATTAAACGCAAAGGTGGACTCCTGGCAAAATTACATTTCTCGGTCACTACAAAATACGCATTTAACTGACTCTATATTATTACATTTTGTCTATTAATAATAGTATGTACTCGTCTAAGTAGTACGCACTACGTGTAAAGCTTACTACAGTATTACCTGTTGCGTTATCAAATGCAGCGTGTTTGGATTATTATCATACAGTTTGTTTTATGTTAAATACCTACTCTTTTCATAGTTGATTCCAAAATATTATATTAATGTTTATATTATACATGTGTATGCATTATTAAAAAATTTCCGGGGCATTTATTATATTACAATATATGTATATACCTATATATAATAATATATAGCACAACAGCGAAAAAATGATAGTCTACAACGTGCTTCAAACCCAACGTTTATGTATTACAACAAAGCGTTCCAAATGGTTTGTAACATAATAATAATAAGTAATAATAACAATAATGAGACTAGATGAGGTTAATGGTTTAAGATTATATTCATTTGGATGCAACTAGTTCAGCTAGGATGATATAATTTAATATAATAATAGAAAGTGTGTATTTGAATGACGTAAAAATGTTTAAATTATAAAACAATAATACAATTAATAATATTAATAAATAAAAACATTATATATATATATATAAAATATGGTCCGATATGCATATCAATATAATGTAGAATGCTTAAAAATGTAAGAATTTTATTGTACCATTTGCACTTCAGACAATGAGCTGATGCTCAGCACGTACATGGTGACACCAACTTCTACTGGAGTACCTGAAACCCGGCAGATTAAAAAAAAAAATCAAAATCAAAATTAAAAATGATACGAAATATTGGAAATTCTCCGAAKCAGCAATAATACTTATGACGTATTGTATTACATTATCATGGTATACACTTGTAAAATAGTATTTAAAACATTATTTTAATTACCTATGTCAATTTTATAAAATAGATAAGTAGGTACCTAATCTGTACCATCATCGACTTAATAATAATTAATATTATAAATTATCATATATGTTACCGATGATAATATAGGTAACGACTAAGCAGACAACTTTTTTTACCATAAATATAATTTAAGTGATATTAATTAAACCGAAATATTGTCGAGTTGTACAATATAATGTACATTACGTCATATTATTATACGGACCACGTATACCTATGTCTTCGGCTATATAATACATACGTACAAAATAAAAATACTAGCTATGTATATTGAATAATTTTTATGGTACATAATATATATTACTATGCAAATTTTATGTATATATAAAATATATATAATAATATATATATAAATATATTGAACACTAATTTGAAGATCTTTCTCTACTTTACAGATAAATGGAATGAGTAGTACTATCCCGTCTATCCCATACAAACCAATATAATAATAGAGATATGAATAGTTTTTTATGCTTTTAATTTAAAATTTCAACTCAATTAGAGTGAAATTCAAATTTTAAATGATAACACATATTGTTATTACTTCTTACCTATAGTCATTTATTTACGTCAACTAATAAAAAATTATCGTAAAACTTCGAAAACAAAATATAACTATCAAGTCCTTTCGAAGAAAACGCAAAACAGGATGCATTCGAATAAGCGCCATACAAAGGTTATCTCAATAATATTATAATTTTAAACAGACATTATTATTACACGTCATATTATTATGGTCAAAATTTTTGATTGATAACATAAAATAAAAAGATGGCGTATAAGTGTAGAGGATAAAGTGAATCATACAGCTTGCTCACCTTTTTATCTTCAATTTATTTATTTAAAATCAGTATCTTTTTTAATATGCATAATTCATACCCAACTTAAACATAATATTTTCAAATTTTAACGATTTTTTATACTTAATAAGCATATTCAGTGCCTTATGGAAATACAAACTTTTGTTTTTTCAAATGAAAACCATTCTTTTCTACTGTATATTATTCGGAGGATAATTTTTGAGATCGTTTTGACATATGAAAATCAAAATTGGATTAACCAAATTTAGGGTTATTATTATTATGTAGTAAGGATAATTTAGGTCT